TGTGAATAATAATAATATAAATGCCATATTTATCTTATTCTTTTGATATGAGCTTCTGCACTTTTGACCTTGAAATCAAGTTTTTGCCCACAAACCTATCTGACTTCTTGAAGTCTTGCTCTGAGAGTCCCATTACGAATAAATATACCATCAGAAGTACAGGGAAATATGGTTTCAAGCGGTAAAAAAAGTTATTTAGCATCGACACATATTTGCAAGGGAATATTGAATCATATATTTGTTTGAAACTTCCAATTATGGGCTTGCTGAAATTGAGAGCAATAGAATTTTAGAATACCGAATTGCATGCTTATGAAAACTGTACTTGTTGCTAACTGTGCAAGTGCTGGAGAAGATCTGAGGAGGATCAAAGTAATTTGATAAACAAAGTTGAAGCCTTTTATTGAAGTCAATATTCATAAATCCCAATGATGATAATGGTGAAGTCTGATTTGCAGTTTGTGACAGTGAAACTAGGTAGCTACCATAAACCTGAATTGACATTGCTATCAAATGTTTGATATCTATTGTGTCCGTGGGGTTGGCTCTCATTCTTAATTCTCTTGAGGAGGCAACCTTGGTTCTTCATGATTTGTTGCTCTAGTCTTAAAGAAAGAATGCATCGACAGGTTTAGGAGGATGCTGAGATGGCTTAGGACATTAGAAAAGTTCATATTGGGTTTAGAGCATATGCCAAGGACTTGTTTGTCGCTTAAAAAGATAGTTTTTTGGATTCTTTAAAAGAATAGGAATCTGAATACAAATTTTCTTTGCATTACTAACTACATTTTAGGGAATTGGGAGTCTGTTTACGTAAACAGGTTTTGGTGGATGATAGTCAATAGCAGAGTGGTGGTATTGAAATCAGTGTCATTATGACTATGCCAAACAATTTTGGTACAATGAGTTTAAATAGTCTTTGAATTCAGGATATTTTGGGTTCTGTGGTGTATAGAGTGAAGGTATCATATGAGGATGAAAGTCGTCATTGGGATCACAATGGTGATGTCACGTGCACAAGGAGGCCTACACTTTTACTAGAATTCCTAGTTCTGTTCTTAATGGCATCAAGGGCAAATGAATTGTCTTTGGATTGCTCCACAACATGCCTGAGGAATATTGGTTCCTACCGCTCTAAAGTGATGAACTGAAATCTCCAAAGGATCAAGGTAATTCAATGGAAAATTTTATTTGTAGGATGAGGATTTGTTAATTAAGTATACTTGAATATTCATGATGTTGTTGTGATTGAGATATCACTTTTGGGGGATTGATGCTTACTTGCAATTACAAAGTTTTGAAAGTTCTGTCTGGTGTATTAGTACAGAAATATTGTTGGAATTGTACTTAGTTTTATCAAGTTTAAGGAAAATAGCTCTATATGACAATTGAAAGTATACTGGAATCTCCCCAGCATTCCGGCTACCACTTGACAGGTGCAGTCTTAGTCTGAGTCTGGTCCAACACAGACTAGTTGTTGTGGTACTTGTAAGCTGAGAATCAAATCCTAAAAGGTTAGGAAATGATAGTTTGAACATTTTTAAGTCTTGACGATCTCATAAAGAAAGGATTTTTTTGTTTTATAGGAAGTGTTAGAGAAATCTACCTTTTAAATATGTTCCAACATGATAATCTGTTAGAAAAAACAGAACATTCTTACTCTACTTTTTCTCTTTTTTGGTTTGTTTTTTTTTTTTAGGTGAAAGAAAATTAGACTTTCCTTCCTTTTGATTGTCTCCCATTTATCCTTCGAATTGGGGGAAATCTCATGGCCTGTCCTCGTTGTCTCCCATTTATGTATGCGTGTTCATTGCTAATTTAGAGGTGGTTATTGAGTGTAGGGTTCAGACCTAGAAAATTTTAGGAGTGTAGATCTATTAGCCCACCATTCTTTGCCATGAAAGTTCTCATTTAAGTGAAAATCATTTGGGGCTTGAAGCAAAAAATGGAGTGCTAACAGAGCCACCTTTCTCAAATTAGAAATATGTATATAACTTTTACTTTCAGCTGTCCTAGACTCCTAGTCCTACAAGTTGTAAGAGTCTAAAAAGAGAGTGATGATCAGCCTAAAGTAATGACCAGTTCATGATATTTAGCCAAGAAGAATGTTGTCATGGAGAAGTGGAGTTGTTTTTCACTTGATGTGCATCTCCCAAGTTACATCATGAGAAAAATATTTGCACAAAAGTTAAAAAGAAAAAGGAAATTGAATATTGTTGACATTAGGAAGATACTACAACTTAGTGCTAGAGGTTGACCAAGCCAACCACACTTAACTAGCTCTAAGGCGCCAGTTGTATACTACATTTTCACTCAAGTTACACTCAATGTTAAATCATTTATTGTCTATGGAGGAAGGGTCTACTTATAAAAAGTGATTCCTACTTAAATCAATGATAAGTGATCTATCATTGTGTGAAAGCCTAATGGAAAATATCTGAATTCCTTTAACACATATGGGCACAACGTTGATAGCAACCATGGCAACTAGAAGATCTCACATTGGCTAATGAAGTGTGAATGTGAAGTGCTTCACAAGTGAGCCTTTAACCTTCGAGCTTAGTCCAAAACGTGGCAATATTGTACAATGTGGCTCAAAGGGCATTACACCAACATTTTGTGATACATTTATATTGGCTTCTCAAGCTGGTTTGTTTTTATTTTTAACTTCTACTGGCAATGCACATGTGCGTTGCACGTGAAAAAAATTTAGTTCATTAATTTGTTATTAAATTTATTTGAAATTCAAAGTTGATGAGTAATAAAATTGAATTAATTGTTGTAAAAGTAAATGAATAATTAAAATACCAAGAAAAAAGGCACTTAATCTTTTAACCTCAAAATTTGATAAATTTCAGCCAATAAATAATAAAAATATTCAAAAACATGGTACATATAAAAATACCCAAAAAATGTTGGATTTAATTTATTTATTATTGGATTGATTGTTGGTCTCAATAATGTTTGAATTTACCATCAATTCAAAAATTAAGAATAATTAGGTCAATATTATAGGATATTTGAACAAACTTTCAAAATATTAGCTATATGAGCAATGAAAAATTGGATTCAAGAGAGGTTATAATAAAACAAAGACACAATAACATAGAAAATTTTAATGTAAATATAGGAATTAATAAATTAATTTCAATTATGCCGAATACTCGACCTGTCACACTAATTTAATAAACTAAAACATAAAAATTAATAAACTAACCTTAATTATTATGCCGAATTCTTGACTTGTTACACCAATCTCTGATAATGCTGTTTAACATTAAATTAAGAAAAATTAAGTGTCACAGAACATAGGAATTAATGTGAACATAGGAATTAATGTAAATATAGGAATTAATAAACTAAAACAGAAGAATTAATAAACTAACCTCAATTATGCTAAAAACTCCAACTTCGACTTCATTGAGTTTGTCACAGAAGAGCATGAAACCATAGGAGTTCAAATAAATGACTATGGTAGGTCAACTTCTAACTCTAACGTGAATGGAAGAAAAAACTTGTTCGATAACTTTGGTAGAAAGTTTGATCCCATGTGGTATTAGAATCCTATCTAGTTTATATATATATGCATATGTATCACCTCAAAATTACCAATATGTGATATTAGAATTCTAGTAGAGTTTGTACAATTGAATGACAAATAAAGAATGTATTGTCATAGAGATAAAGTTTATATATATATATATATATGAAGGAATTCAAAATATTTTAGAAGTCTAATAAGTAGGAAGGCAAAAAAATATATGTATATGTATCACTTAAAAATTACCAATATATGGTATTAGAATCCTAGTAGAGTTTGTATAATTGAATGGAAAGAAATAATGTATTGTCATAGAAATAAAATTTATCTATCAAGTCATAGCAATAAAGTTTATATAACTAATATTTAGATAAAGTTTATCTACCAAGTCATAGAGATAAAGTTTATCTAACTAATATTTTGAAAGTTAAGTAGGTATGAAAAACAGGAAAACATATGGGTATAATTGGTTTTATGATAATAATTAAGGGTGAAATAGGAAATCAAAATTTTTTCATATATGCTGACATTTATAAGTAGTATAGATATCAAATAAAGTCTCATTAGTTTCTTACTTCAAAGTCAATCCCAAGGAACAGTGAAGCTTTGTAGGGTCTTTTTGTCCATGTACAAGTAGTCCACATCTTCACAAACATGTCTATTTCACCGAACCTCTCACTAATGTATAAGAGCAACTCCAAAAGACGAGCTAAAACCTTCTTTTTAGCTACTTTAGATTGTTTCTCCTTAAAATGTGGCTCCAACTGACTAGTTATTCTCCTTTCTATTTCCCATAACCCCCTTTTCACTAGCTACATCTAGCTAGCCACAATGAGAGATGGAAGAACCTATTTATACATATCCAAAATTATGGTCGTTACAAATATGACCGTTATGTCCGTTATTAATATGACCGTTGAAAATTTTAAATTTTAAAATTTTGAATTTCGTGACCATTGTAAATATGACTGTTATTAATAAAAATTAAAATTTTAATTTTTTTGATGACGTGTCGTAACACGTGAGCACGTGATGTCATCAATATGGTGATGACGTGGCATACTACATAGTATTTTAGATAATCCAGAATGGTGTCAGATCCTTCTGTCAAATCTTGGAGTTTTATAGATAATTTGTGGATTAAAATTGTTGTTCTGACAGCTCATCGAGGGAGCATCCCAGGCAGCTTCCTCACCAATTAATTCAAAAAAACACAACTCAATCCTCCACAGTGATGCTCACTTATTCGGGCAAATCGGTTAAGGGGCAGAGTTGATGTAAATTTGTACGTCCTAAGTTAAAATTATTGTCTGAATAAAATTTGAAAAGATACGTAATTGGAACGATTTCTCACAACCAAAAAAAAATGTTGCAAAGGTTACATAGTGAATACGGGTGCAGACGGCTAATCCACACTAACATAGTGATCTCAGTTGATTACGCTAAAAACAAAGTGAGTATGTTGGCTACTGGGAGGTTTGAAACAGAAATGGATGAAGCAATGGGAAGAAGACAAGAAAAATATAATCTATGGGGAATTTCAGGCAAAGAGAAAAGCAGTAGCATGAGGTTCAACATGACTTAACGTGATTTCTCTGTATCATTTGATCAATTGCAACTTCTTGATTTGAATAGCTGAAGTATTTACGAATGACTCACAATAAACAATAAGTAAGAATATAAAATTAGAAAATTCTCTTCTCAAATTTTCTATACATACGATGAAGTCTCCCATGGCTTTGCCGCAAGATTAACAAATAACAAAGCTAAAAAGTTCACCAAAGTGCTGGGAGTTTTGGCTGTTTTAGCAGCAAGGTCGTAGTAAAGTTAGACACTACCCGTTCCCCAGAATTTCTTGGTCTGAATTTGGACTATGGCCTGTGGCCAGAGACCAACTTTGGTGAGAATGTTATAATTGGCCTGGTAGATTCTGGAATTTGGTCGGAGAGTGACAGCTTCAATGACATTGGGATTCAGCTAATACCCTCTAGGTGGAAAGGTGCATGTGACCAGAACTGAATTCAATTCTAGTCATTGTAACAGGAAACTCATTGGTGCAAGCTTCTTCCTCAAGGGTATGGAGCACTACATGACTGGCAGATCATTGGAAGGACTTGGCGGTTCAAACCAATTTGAGGTCTAAAGCGGAAATATTAAATTGAGGTTTTTTTATTTTTAATTTTATTTTTAAAAAAATTAATTTATTTTTAATTTTCTATGTGAAATGGAGACAAAAGGTGTTAATATTGTCGAAAAAGAGATTTTAACTTTTGTTTTTGTTTTTACCACAGAGAGGGAGAGAGAGTGTTTAATTTCAATTTTTGTTCTTGTTTTTTATTTTTTTTACCGGAGAGAGAGAGAGAGAGAGAGAGAAAGTGGGTGGGAGTTTTTAATGTTATGGATTTGATTATAGGCACAAATTATTGCAATAAAAATTTTGATTTGATTTAATTTTTTTGGGTTTTTTTAGGGCTTAAAATTTAATAAATTTAATTTTTTTTTTTGTGGGCTAGTGATGTACCTAAGATTATGAGACTTTCTAAAAATTTTGGGCCTAAAGCTCATGCTTTTTTTTTTTTTCATACTGTTGGGCCGGCCCTGGGCGATTATCTATCTCCGTGAGATGGAGTTGGACATGGCACACATACTGCTTCAACAACAGCAAGATCCAAGGTTGCAAATGCTAATGTATTTGGTTTTGCTAACGGCACTGCTAGAGGCATCACAACAAAGGCCAGGATTGCCATGTATAAAGCTTGTGAGGCATTGAAACAAGGCAAGTGAAGTTCAATACAAATTCTAGAACATCAATGTCCTGCCTACATGTTGCTGCATTGCTTCGTGCTGCTCACCCCAATTAGTCCCCGACAGTAGTCAGGTCTACTCTCATGACCACCTCCACAGTAATTGACAATAAGTTTCGTTTGATTGCTAGATATGCAGATTTGGAGCCAGTAACTGCACTTAGCATCAGAGATGGACATGTTTTTGTGCAGTGATGCAAATATATCAGATTACATCAGGTTTATGATGCAGATATAACAGTGTTTTACATCAGGTTTGTGTGCAGTGATGCATTGTTAAAATTAACATCTTACTATGCTTTTATAAGACTAATTATGCTTTGATGGAGTTTAAATGATAACATTTCAGGGAAAAAGTTGTACAAGGGCCTAAAGTCACTAACATCAAATTTTCAAGCAACACCCACGTGTTCTGGAAGAGACTTGGAGAAGGAGGAAGCAAAGCATCCACGTTCGAATGTCAATTCACTTTCGAATGCCATTTTGAAATAATTGAGGGCCCTAGAAGATTGTTAGGGTGATGAAACATGGCATGTTGCAGCTATTTACTGTGGAGGACAAAAGCTACTTGAGTACCACGTTCAAACTCTAACAGCATTCGAACGCTCATCAAAGAAGACAGACTTCCATGTTCAAACGCCCGCAATGTTTGAACGCAAATCCTAGACAGGCAGCAGGAAGATTTGATCTCTATTCAGATTTTGGGACATTCACTTGGACTTTAAGCACCTAGAACTATTCTTTTACTCTCCTTTTACTCTATCTTCCTTGCTTATAAATATTTTCCCTTTGAACTTGTTAAAGATCATCTTTTGGAAGAGGAAGAAACCCTCCAAAAGTAACTAGCTTTCTTCTACTTTCATTATTAGTTTCATTAGCTTCCATTATAAAAGCTTTTTCTTCACTTAGAGGAGTGAAACTCTCTCACCTTTCTAGCTCTCTTGTAGCCTTGAAGGGTGGGTAATGATTCACGCACTCTTCGTCAAAGATAGGCTTATTGTGTAGTGTATTGATCTTGTAACCCCTCTACTTGAAGGGATGAGGATCATTCACTTTTTTAGTTTTTTCAAAGCCATAAAGAGTGAATAGTTTCTCATTCACTCTTTAGTAAGAGGTAATGAACATGTATAAATCATTCGGAAGTTATATTTGTGCATTTCATTTGTGCTTAGTACTCTATCTTTTGGTTGTTTTTTGAATGATTGAATGCATCTAGCAAAGTTAAGGTACTTTGTACAATTATGAGTCCTTTCTACGACAAGTTAACTCTTGGCATAGGAGGATTCATTGGTTCTTTTCAAGTACTCAAGTTAGATCTTCATGACAACATTTCAATCTTCACTATTATTGTGTTTTAACTAAGAATGGAATAACATCGTAGTGATTGGATGATTTGTAGAATTATTTGCTTGTTTGTAGACTGGTTGAGTTCCGGCACTGACAATTATTGTAAATCTCTATAAAGACATCAAAACCATTCTCTTAATTCTCATAATTTATCTTTATCCTCCAATTAACTTGTTATTGACACAGAGGTTAGCTGAGTTGTCAAGTACAAGTATAACAATTAGATGATTGACTACATGTCCAGATCCTCGAACTAATGGGTGACTTTTTTTATTTAAGAGAATATTATATTTTGTCTAGAAAATTCTACAATCATCATAACTTTAAATTTCAAGGGTTTTAGTCACTTTGGTCTCTGTCACTATTTACTTCAAACCACCAACAGTAATTTCCTATGGATTCGACTCCAGACTTAACCGGATTATAACTATAACTTGACCGTTTATACTTAGGTGTACACATTTCAGATCAAGTCATGCAGTTTAAACTACACCAAAAAGCAGATGAAATTTTTTGTAGACGCATCAAAACTTTGCTCAGGACCTGCAGGTTCTCCTAGAGATCTTAACTATCCATTATTTTCCATGGTATTCAAGCCTAACAGCTTCGTTCAAGAGTTATAGAGAACAGTGACCAATGTTGGGGAGCCTTTGTCAGAAGTGTACAAAGTTGGAATTGTCCATCATGAAGTTTAAAAGGCAAATGCAAGTGTGAAACCACAGAAGTTGATCTTCAAATAATCCTACGAGAAGCAAAGCTATAGAGTTAGATTCGAAAGCAAAAATATCTTCAATAATAGAAGTACCACTGTGGAACAAATGGCTTTTGGGTCCATTTCATGGAAAAGTGAGAGCCATGTTGTTAGGAGTCCTTTTTCAGTGATGTGGCAACACTAGAGTGTTGATTTTGTACTGTTGGAACAAATAAATGTCAAAGTTATTTGCTTAGCTTAGATAGTGTGTTTCCTTACGGGGTTGGGAATTCCTTGTATCAAAGAAACCTTGAGAAAACTTAGCTTAAATTCTACTTCGAAGGATGTCCGATTTGATTCTAAAGAAGTGGAGAATTTTGGTACTACTTAGACAGACCAGTTGAGTTGAACAAAAAAGAAAGATTAGTTGGGATTAAAAATCCTGCAGACACCCTTCAACTCCCAGAGCAGTCCAACTAAAATTGTATAATCAGAAAAATATGATTTGTTTTTCCAACTCAAGCACATGTTTGCATAATGGTAGTCGGAGAATCTAACTGCAATGGTTATGATTCCAAATCACGAATATGAACTGCCTTTAGCATTTAATTGACAAAATGACAAGGGAATGAGCTTTGGACTTAATCCAACACCTGAGCCAAATTGCAGCGAAATGATATTTGATGCGAGTCCGTCAATGACGTGCTCAACTGCCATTGTCTTTGTGATGCAAAGAAAAATGTGAAAAGACATTATCTATTTCACCTTTATGTTCCGTTTGGTAGGGAGGATAAAAAGTAGAAAGGATGAAAAGTAGGAGAGATACACTTTCGATCCTTCAAGGATAGAAAGTAGGAAAGATACACTTTCCTTCTTTTGTGTTTGGTTGGATAGATGAAAAATAAAAATGAATATTTTTTTTGTGATGGCTAAGATTAGGGGTGACAATTGAGTCGTGTCGTGTCAGATTCGTGTTGAGTCATTATGAGTTTGTGTCGAATATTTGTCAAACATAACTTAACTCATTTAACTAATTGTGTCGTATCGAGTTGCGAGTTAACCTATTTATTATCGTAGCGAGTTCGAATCATGATATCGCGTTGAGTCGAAAATTTTCACTCTTAATAAAGATGAAAAAAATATTTTTTTTTTATTTTTAATATTTTTAATTTTTAATTTTTAAATTTATTTTTAAAATTTTTTAAAATATATATATATACATTCATACATATTTTACCGTTGTAGTTTTATATGAAATTAATATATATATAATATATGTATATATAAAAAGATATATAGACAAATAAAATACATCTCAACACAAATAATAAACTTTCCATTCATTTTCCTTCCGATTTTGGAGGGATTAATTTTGATAAATTGGAAGAAAAATTAATCCATCCACTTTTTCATCTTTTCTACTTTCCTTCCTTATCAAATATGATGTTTTATTTATCCCTTCAACTTTCCATCCTCCCACGTTTTCATCGTACCAAACGGAACATTAAAAAATAGAAGATATCCCTTATTTCTCTTTAATTATGCTTGTTTTATTGGAACAATATTATTCCAACATAACTATCTGTTTTGGGGATTATTCAACAACTACGGACTATTTATCTGTTGCCCATCAACAATATCTAATACTGGAACATGATATCTTGAATAAAGAATGTTTTATATAACATTAAGTTCAAGAACATTGTTGTAAGTGATTTATAATGTTAAAATGCCCTGAAAAACTACTCCAAGTGTATGCGCATATGCCATATTGAAGAAAGAAAAGTAAAATTTGAATATCAGATAAAAGAATCCCTTTGAAGAATGTATTTTTATATGCCCCTTCCTTGAAATTAACATAGCAAATTAATAAAGGCTATTGACATTATGACTGGCAACATTGTTTCTGAAGGAAGACTTCCACTATTTTCTTTGTCATTTCATTCTGTGGATATAAACCATGATCACATCTTGATTGATCGTGGTGACATATGTTTTTCAAAGCCTTTGTGATTTTGAGGTATCTGAATTGGTTCTGAATTTGCTGGTTGGAATAACAGGTAGTCCTTGGTGTGAAGTGTCCCTAAAGATGAAAACACATTAGATGTATCCGCAAAGATGAAATCTAGAGGCATCATTCACAAGAAAGAATTACATCTTGTGGACTTGGAAGCTGT